AGAGAGAGAGAGAGAGAGAATTTTTAATATTTATTTTCTAGTTCTCGGCGGACACAACATCTTTGTTTGTATGTGGTGCTGAGGATCGAACCCGGGCCACATGCATGCCAGGCGAGCGCACTACCACCTGAGCCACATCCCCAGCCCTCAAAGGTGGCTTTCTAAGGAAAGCCAGAGCAAAAAGCAAAAACAAAACACACACACACACACACACACACACACACACCTGCTAACCTAACTAACCTGAATTGCCTCCCCTGTTTTGTTTTGTTTTCCCCCCTCCCTCTCCCTCTCCTTTAAAGTGTTCTGGAACTGCCAATGCAGAGCCAGCTGATGCCTACCTGGAGAGGGGAAGCTGGAGAGGGGCCAGACCCAAAAAGAACCAATCACACACTTGCTCATTCATTTTCCTATTTGTTTATTTATTTGGTCACTCTTCATTCAACATTTGCCAAGCACCTCCGCTGCCCTGGGTCATGTGCTGGGAGCTGCAGACCCAAGTTCAAGAGATAAAATCTCTGATCTCCAGGAGATCACAGTCCAGCAGGGAGAAAGATAGTATGAGTGAAGTTAAAAGCCAGGACAGTGTTGCCATGGCTGAGGGGCACAGTCTGAGGGGAGGAGCATATGATAAGGACTTGACTGAAGAGGGGACCCCCTGGATGAAGAAATCCTGAGAAAGAAGAAGTTTCTTCTTTGGACAATGGGAAACTGTGAAAAGAATTTCAACACTGTTGCCTTAATGCATTCCCAAAACTCAGGTTAAGAAATGAAGCTCTATTTTCCCTAAAGATCCTCAGTTCTCCTTCTTATTTCTCTAACACAGAACAGGTTAAATGAATGCCCAATGGACACATTTGGCAGTGACAGAGGAAGACTTTCTAAATAGCCAGTTAAGCTACCTTTGACATTGATCTTCCAGCTCTCCACTTAGCCGTTCGTACCATGTCTCCTTACTCCTCCTTCTTGACGCTAGTTGAATCTGCTAATGCAACTAGATCAAGATACTTAAGAAAAAAATTGATCTCCATCCCTAAAATGTATTAATGGAATACCTCAAAATGCCACCAAACATGGCTTAATTGTATGCGGTTCAGGTTTTCTGCAAATGTATCTCATGCTTAGCTTTCATTTAGTTAGTGTTCTAATTATAATTACTGTGATTGGCTTGATAAATGCATCCCAGGAGCTAAGATCCCTGTTCCCAACATTTTATTTCTGTGCAAAGGATGTTTTCGAGAAGGTATTTTGCTTTAGGCAGCAGAAGCCTCAATGCAGACAGTAGAAAAAAGAAACACTTTCTCCTTAAAGCATCTGATACCATCTGGGATACTGTGCTATTGTTTAATTTCAGAGGGGCCGATTGAGAGGGCAGACAAGTGTGAGAGTACAGAACAAGAAATCGTTGGGGATACTTCCAGCCATCCTGCAACACCTTGGTGTCAGTTTGCAATGTGTACCCTCAGATGAGAGGCAGTGTGTAGCCCAAGAATCCAATTTCACATTTGAAGATGCATTTGTCGTTCAGAAATAAGCTCTCGGAAACCCAAGCTGCCTGGGCTCCTGAGGGCTGTGCTGCCTCCAGCCTTCAGCACCTGCAAGGAAGCTGTGAGCAATGACTTTGGCCTTGGTTGCATACTGCCCTCTTCAGAGGGAAAATAGTACTCTCCTGTGTGTGCTGCACATGGCCCTTTGCATTCTTCACTAAAGCCACTTTTAACTGTTGGTTACAGCTCCTCAACTCAAGCCAGTCAATGTCCTTCCCGGATGGATGTTTCTGGAAACTTGAGCATGCTGGAGCAGTAGAAAAGACAGGGAAGAAGAGTGGATCGTGTTGTTTTGTGCTCAGTGCTTGGTGTTGAACTGGATTTTTGTTTGTTTGGCAACATGATAAGTTATGCTCTGGATACCAGGCTTAGAAAACCATTACTCCGGTCTTGGAGCTTCCCTTTAACCAATTATGTGACTCAGGGCAGGTGGCTTCACTTCTCATTTGTGAGATGGCCTCCTAACATTTCCCTGTCCCTATTCCCCTAGACGGCAGCTGCAATTGGCATGTCTCCTGTCCTGTGCAGTAAAGAAAAGCAAGTTGTCACAAGTTGCTGGTTATGTCCCCTCCTTTTTCATGGCAATCTTAAAAGGCCTTCCTCTGTTTCATAGTCATTTGGAGCTTCTCTCTTTCCCTCTTACCTCCCTGGAATGTATCTTTATAAGATAGAGATTAATTTAAGATGCATTTCCCATGAGACATATAAAAATATAACCAATGTTTATTGAGTGTTGCCGTTTAATTTATTTGCTTGTTTGTTCTTGGTACTGGGAATTGAATCCAGAGGTGCTTTACCATGAAGCTAAATCCCCAGTCCTTTTTATTTTTAATTTTGAAACAAGATCTCGCTAAGTTGCTGAGGCTGAACTTGAACTTGCAATTCTCTTGCCTCCCTTTCCCTAGTTGCTGGGATCACTGGAGTGTGCCATCATGCCCAGCAAACACTGCTGTTTTAAACTTGCATCTTAAATAACTCAGCTCTCCCACTACCCAGTAAAGGAGATACCATCACCGTCATCATCATCATCATGATTCTCCAGGTAGGAGAGAGAGATACTGAGATATAGGCTATACTTAAGGTCCCAGAGGCAGTTAAAGGTATAGTTAAGATTTAAACTCAGACAGTCTAGATCCAGAATTCTTCCTGTCAACCACTATGCTGTGCAGTCTCCCAGCATTTAGTTCGGAGATGCAAAACTGTACCAGCATCCCTGGTGGAGGGCCACATTTCCCCATGGATGGGAATAGTATGAGGGCATCGTCTTCTCTAAAGAGTTGGGCTGGGAGCTCAAGGCTTGTTTTTAAACAAGCCACTTACT